ATTTAAATCCTACAGAAAAGTTGAAAGTTAAGTCTAGTGAACACCTGTACTCTTGGCTTCAATTCATCAGTTAACATTTTGCATATTCACTTCAGAGTAAGTTTTAGATATCATGACAATTTATCTCTAAAAACTTCAGTTCAGCTCTCTAAGGATGAGGAGATTCTTTGACATACCTATAGTACTATCATAATATCAAAAATTTATAATTGAGCCGTGTTCCATGGCGAGTGATTTTAGTCCCAGCTACTTAGGAGGCTAAGGTGGGAGGATCACTTGAGCACAGGAGTTTAAGTCCAGCTTGAGCAACGTAGCAACCCTGTCTCTAAAAAAATAAAAATGAAAAAGAAATGTGTAATCATTCTATAATTTCATCTGATACTGAGTCCATGTTCAAATTTTCCTGATTGTACCCCAAATGTCTTATATCTTCTTTCTCCTCCCTCCATTCATGATCCATGCAGTGAACTTTTTTTTTTTTTTTAGGAGACAGAGTCTCATTTTGTTGCCCAGGCTGGGCAATGGTATCATGATAGCTCACTGCAGCCTCAAAATACTGGGCTCAAGCAATGCTCCCACATCAGCATTTATAATTGATGGGATTACGGATGCATGCCACCGTGCCCAGCTAATTTTTTTTTAAGAGATGGGGTCTTTCCGTGTTGCCCCATCTGGTCTTTTTTTTTTTTTCTTCTTTTTCTTTTTCTTTTAAGGCAGAATGTTGCTCTGTTGCCAAGGCTGAAGAGTAGTGGTGCGATTTCGGTTCACTGCAACCTCTGCCTCCCAGGTTCAAGTGATTTTTGTGCCTCAGCCACCCGAGTAGCTGAGATTATAGGTGTGCACCACCATGCAGCTAATTTTTGTGTTTTTAGTAGAGGCGAGGTTTCACCATGTTGACCAGGCTGGCCTCGAACTCTTGGCCTCAAGTGATCTACCTGCTTCGGGCTCCCAAAGTGCTGGGATTACAGGTGTGAACTATCGCATCCGGCTGCCCAGTCTGGTCTTAAAGTCCTGGCCTCAAGCAGTCTTCCTGCCTTGGCCCCCAAAGGATTATAAGATTTTTTTTTTTCTTAAAATGACACACATTTGTGTCAGGCCAGGCATGGTAGCTCACATCTGTAATTCCAGCACTATGGGAGGCTGAGGCGGGTGGATCACATGAGGTCAGGAGTTCGAGATCAGCCTGACCAACATGGTGAAACCCTGTCTCTACTAAAAATACAAAATAGCCAGGCGTGATGGCACATGCCTATAATTCCAGCTGCTTGGAGGCTGAGGCAGGAGAATCGCTTGAACCCGGTAGGCGGAGGTTGTAGTGAGCCGAGATTGCGCCATTGCACTCCAGCCTGGGCAACAAGAGCGAGACTCTGTCTCAAAAAAAAAAAAAAAAAAAAAAAATCTGTGTCAATCAAAGCACCCACACCCTGCTCAGGGCGGGCAGTCTTGAAATGTTGCCCATCTTCACTGCTGCCAATATAGTCCCAGAGGTGCCAGCAGAAGAATCAGACAGGAGAAGTGCATGTATCAGCACAGTCCTGGAAAGTCCAGGAGAGCCAACCAGATCACTACAAAGAGCATGGGAAAGTGCCCCGAGGGCTTGGCCATGCATGGAGTGAAATGTCTGGGAATAAATGTAACAAGTATGTGCCAGGTCTGTAGGAAGATGACTTGTAAGACCTCCAAATAGACCCAGAGGATGGCTGGACAGTTAAAAAGGTCCACTGTGTCCATTATAAAAATGCCGTTTATCTCTACATTAACCTAGATGTTTAACATAACCCACCAAAATACCAAGAGGGTTTATTTGGGGCAATTACAGAAACTTGATTCTAAAATTCAAATGTAAAAAGGATCTGTGACCAGGAAATTGTTGAAAACAAAAATAACGAAAGGAGACTATTCCTATCCTATGTGATAAAGATAGCCTCAAAAATTAGAGGAAGGGGCCGGGTGCGGTGACTCACGCCTGTAATCCCAGCACTTTGGGAGGCTGAGGCGGACGGATCACAGGGTGAGGAGTTCAAGATCAGCCTGGCCACCATAGTGATAACCCCATCTCTACTAAAAATACAAAATTAGCCGGCTGTGGTGGCACATGCCTGTAATCCTAGCTACTGGGGAGGCTGAGGCAGGAGAATCTCCTAAACTTGGGAGGTGGAGGTTGTGGTGAGCCAAGATCTCACCACTGCACTCCAGCTTGGGCGACAGAGTGAAACTTTGTCTCAAAAAAAAAAAAAAAAAAAAAAAAAATAGAGAAAGGAGGGAAGAGTTCAGAGTTGCCATCTAGAAAAACAAAGTTGGACCCTTGCTTCATACCTTATACCAAAATAAATTCCAGGTAGATCAACAGTTTTAAATGTGAAAGAAATGTGAAAGATTCAACAGTAAAAACACTAGAGGAAAATATGGGAAATGTTTTCTAAATAATCTCAGAAGGAAAAAACCTTCCTGAGTTTGACACAAAACTCAGAGGCAAGTAAATGATAAATTTGATCACATTGAAAACGAAGATAGGCTGGTCCGAAGGTAGTGAGTTACCTCAGTTGGTTGTTCACAGTCACAGATCCAACTCCAGGTTCTACTGTTTCACCTTCTACTTCTTTCACTGCACTTAACTAGACTTAAGGAAAAAAAAAAGACAAATTTCTGCATGGCAAAAAAGCAATACAGAATCAAAAGATAGGGGAAACTCCTCATCAAAAAAGGGGCAGATTTCTTCAAATTGATAAGATAGAATCTAATAGAAAACTGACTAAGAATCTGAACTGTTCAGAAAAGAAAATGGAAATGGCTCTTTAACATGTGAGGACATTTTCTGTACCTTTTGTGATGAGGTTTTCCCTCTCGTGGTAGTGAGTTAGAGCTGGTGTCTTCCTGGGTTGGGGGTAGAGGGTGCAGGCACCAGTCCCTGCTCTTAGGAATGATGTAAAAAGAGTGACTTGACAATACTATCAAAGTATAAATGTATGTAAACCCTTCAACCCAGCAAATGTATTTGTGGGACTTAATCCTGGCATATGCATACTCAGCATGTTGTAAGAGTGAGGCTATTTATCATGTGAACTAACTGGAAATTATAAGTAACCTAAATGTACCCCTGTAGGAATGGGTTAAAGAAGTGAGATAGCTGGCTGGGCATGGTGGCTCATGCCTGTAATCCCAGCACTTTGGGAGGCTGAGGCGGGTGCATCACCTGAGATCAGAAGTTTGAGTCCAGCCTGGCCAACGTGGTGAAACCCTGTCTCTACTAAAAATACAAAAATTAGCCGGGCATAGTGGCACACGACTATAATCCCATCTACACCCGGGAGGCTGTGGCATGAGAATCACTTGAACCTGGGAGGCGGAGGTTGCGGTGAGCCGAGATTGCGCCATTATACTCCAGCCTGGGTGACAAGAGCGAAATTGCATCTTTAAAAAAAAAATAAAGTGAAACAGTCTTTGCAAAGAGTGAAGCAGTCCTGTGTACATGGGCATGGATCGGTCTCCAAGCTTTATTGTAAAAACCGGGCCGAGTGCAGTGGCTCAGGCCTGTAATCCCAGCACTTTGTTAGGCCGAGGTGGGCAGATCATGAGGTCAGGAGATCAAGACCATCCTGGCTAACACGGTGAAACCCTGTCTCTACTAAAAATACAAAAAATTAGCCGGGCGTGGTAGCA